CCGCCCCATAAGAAGTTCGGCGGGCGTTTTGTTGGTAACGCTGTGGGGCATGATGTGCTGCAACAATAAAATCCGATTGATTTTCTCATCGATGTTTCCGAATTCCATTTTGTGGAGGGTCTTTTTTACAAACTGTACCATGCGCTCTGCACGCCCGTTTGCCGCAGGGTGCGCGGGCGAGGTCAGCGCATGGCAGATGCCCCGGTCAGCAAGATATTGTTCAAATGGTAATGCTGTGAACTGTGGGCCGTTATCCGAGACGAGGACGTCCGGAAAACCATGTGTGGCAAATAACCTGTTTAATTTGTTGATAACTGAGTCCGTTGTAGTTGTGCTCATTCGATGGATCTCGAGCCAATTTGAATAGGCATCGACTGTAATAAGGAAAGTGTGCCCTTTTGTAGGCCCCGCAAAGTCAATATGGATACGGGACCATGGTCCTCTCGGAGTTTCCCATTCGGTTGGGCTTGCTTTAGGTGGGGCGTTGCTGACGTCTTGGCAACGTTGACAAGTAGCGACCCAGGCCTCGATTCTTTTGTCGATTCCCGGCCACCAGGCGTAGCTCCGTGCGAGTGCTTTCATCCGCACGATGCCCGGATGTCCGTCGTGCAATACCGCTAAAACAGTTCGTTGCAGATTGCTCGGGATTACGACTCTATCGCCCCACAAGATGCAGCCCTTTTGAGAAAACAGTTCGGTTTGGCGTGCTTTAAATGGCGCCCATTCAGGTGATAGCTGTTCTGTTGGCCAACCACGCTCAACCCAGCGTAGGAGGTGTTGCAGGACCGGATCTCATTTTGTCTCGAGGGCAATGTCTCTCGCCGTCAATGACGGTGCGTGTAGAGTCTCAATTTGCAACGTTGTGATGGTTGGGGCTGGATCTTCAACCGATTCTGGAAGCGGTGTTCTGCTCAATGCATCAGCGTGGAGAATTGATTTCCCGGGGCGGTGTTGCAAGGTGTAGTTGTACGCCGCCAAGAATTCAGACCAGCGGGTCATTCTGGGGGACAATATATACGGGGTTGGTTTATTACCCGCAATAATCCCCAGTAGTGGTTTATGATCAGTAATTATTGTAAACGCACGCCCATACACATATTCATGAAACCTTTTAACTGCCGCCACAATAGCTAAAGCTTCTTTATCCAGCTGACTATAATTTCTTTCAGCTTTAGCTAAAGTTCATGAAAAAAATGCGACAGGAGCTTCTGCTCCATTCGGTAATACGTGGGCCAGGATTGCTTCAACTCCAAAAGGTGAGGCGTCACAAGTAATAGTTAACGGCAGAGTCTCGTTGTACTGCATAAGTACAGAATCAGAAGTTAGCAATTTCTTTACTTGTTGGAAAGCGTTTTGTTCACGTTGTCCCCAAACCCACGTTGCTTTTTTGTCTAAGAGTCTATGTAATGGTTCAGCTACGGTTGCTTTATTGGGTAAAAAGACGTTATAAAAATTGATAAGTCCAAGGAACGCCTGTAGATCTGCCTTGTTCCTTGGAGTGGGGGCCTTCTTAATTGCCTTTAATTTGTCCTCAGTGGGATGGATTCCTTGACTGTCCAGGAGGTATCCCAAAAACTCCACCCTTTCGGTACATAACTGGCATTTATTTTTTTTAACTTTGAGGCCTGCGTTTTGGAACCTTTGTAAAACTATGCGGAGTCGTTTTTCTAGAATGTCCCTGTTCGGGGAGGCGATGAGCACATCGTCGAAATACGGTACGACCCCTCTTATTCCTTGTAACAGCCTTTCCATTAAGCTCTGAAAAATTCCTGGAGCGACGCTCACCCCGAACTGGAGCCGGTTGCATTTAAATGCGCCCCTATGCGTGACGATAGTTTGCGCCTCCGCGGTGGCCGGATCTACAGGCAATTGTTGATATGCCTGTGCTAAGTCTAGTTTAGCGAAAACTTTCCCGCCACCCAGGGAATGGAGCAGGTGTTGCACTACCGGCACTGGATACGCACTTTGCTGAAGTGCGTGGTTTAGGGTGGCCCGGTAGTCTCCGCAAATTCTCAGTGACCCATCAGGCTTGATAGGCGTCACTATTGGGGTTTCCCATCAAGCGTGGTCGGTGGGTTCCAGCACGCCCTGTTCTATTAGCTTATCGAGTTGTTCATCGATTTTAGGTTTCAGAGCGAACGGCACCCGACGCGGCTTAAGGCGGATGGGTGCTACCTCGGGGTTCAAGTTAAATGAGATCGGGGTCCCCTTGTACTTGCCTAGTCCGTTCGCGAAAACGTCTTGGAATTCTTGCACGAGGGCTTCCTCCCAATCGTTGCTCTCGGCACGGTGGACTCCGGCTACAGTGATTCCAAGCGGTCTGAACCATTGAAGGCCTAAAAGACTAGGCCGGTCACGGTCCACGACAGTCAGTGGCAGTGCGACGGTGCGGTCCTTGAAAGAGACCTGGAATCGGCGGGACCCGACAACGGGAATTCGGTAACCCTGGTAATCTTTGAGGATAACCCTTTGAGGGTTTAGGTCTTGGCGGCGAATCGTCGGAATGAGCTGTTGAAGCGTCTTCCAGGACACCATCGAGAGGGATGATCCTGAGTCCACCTCCATTACACAAGGTTTGTTTTCGATAGCGACCTCTACTCGGATTTTCCCGGCATCAAGGTAATTGTTGGTAATTGTTTGGTGGGTCTCTTCCCACCTGGTTTCTTCACGCCTGGTGGAAGTGGTGGACGGTTTGTTTCTGTAGGAGTGGCTTCCCCATTGGTGATTCAGTTTGTTTCGGGGTGTGCCGAAGAATTCTGAAGACTGGCATTTGGCCTGTCGGGGTTTGGAGTTTTGTTTGCTTCTGCAAACCTTTGCGATGTGACCTCTTTTCCCGCAAACGCGGCAGAGTGCATCGAGGAATTTGCAGCTGGATCGGGGGTGATTCGCCCCACATCCTGCACAAGGTCGAGATGAGGGTTGTGTGAACTGGTCTCGTTCCGTTCGGAGTCGGTTGACCTCTTCCTCATCGCTTTCGGATGGGGATTCTAGGTCTTCGTGGTGAGTCGATACTGGGTGTCTCTCTGAGCGAGGCGAGGTATCTTTGGCGAGTTGACGTAGCGGTGCGTTGGTGCGGCGCATTCGGGCTGCCGACTTTTTGGTCGCCTCCGCTGCAGTGGCTTCTTTGAGGGCATCGGTGAGGCTGATGTCCCCCTTAGCCATAATTTTGCTCTGGATCGTGCCGTCTTCTAGGCCCAGAACCAGGCGGTCTCGGAGGGCTTCTTCTAAATCAGAGAATCCGCAGAGGCCTCCAAGGTTGCGGAGGTCTGCGATGTAGTTGGCAAGGCTTTCACCTTTCCGTTGGTCCCTCTGGTAATATTCGTGTCTTCTGACTAAGGTTGGCACGGTGGGCGCATAGTGAGCCCGTAGCAAAGGCTCGAGGACGTCCCAGTCCATCGCTTTTACTTCGGCTGGCTTGGCAAGTGATTTTGCCATTTTAAACACGGTAGGCCCGCAATGGGTTAGAAATATAGCTCTTTTTTTGCTGGTTGTCACGTCTTTCAAATTGTTGGTCTCCAGAAACATCTGGAACCGATCCATGTATGACTCCCAGTCTTCGGTTTCTGGGTCGAATGGAGCGGATGGTACGGCACCGCTGGTCATGTTGCCGTTGATGGTGCGTGTTCGACCACGTGCTCTGTTGGTTGCTCTGTAGATCAGTCAGCTCTTCGGTCTCCGTATCCCATCCTCGTCGCCAGTGTTATGTTTGGAGAGTAATGGAGACCAGACATCTGACCAGTGACTTCAACTCTTTATTAACAGTAAATAGAACAGAACAGAGCAAGCTATGGGTAGCAGTAACCCCTTTTATAGGGTTGGCTGCTACCCTATTAACCAATACTAAGTGCATCAAGTTCAAACTAATAACCAATAAGAAGTGTCCTAAGCTTGGCCAATCAGGGGCTTGTTATGAACCAATCCTTGTTCATTGTTTAAGGACCAATCAAATGTGCAGGCTTCCAAAACCTGCTTTGCATTTAGGCTTAGTAATTTTATTCATTCACAACAAAGTCAATCCTAAATTTAAGGTGTTCCTCTTCAAACAAAGAAAGAGAAAAACAAAACATAAGAATCCTATGCAATGTTCAATTTTCCAAACGTGTTAACCAATGGTTTGGATCTGTCTTAAACCAAATTAACTGCCTATAAAATAAGGCATTCCATAATGTAAATTTAATCTCCCAGTAATATCTACACATATATTTCATACACAAGTTCCACATACTCAAAGCTACATATGTCTCCTTCCTCCTTCTTGTGGGAACAGAACAGGAAAGAAGAGGGAAGGCTTAGTGCTCAAATAAGAGAAGGAAAAAGAAAAGGAGAAATGAAATGAAATGAAATGAAATGAAAGAAGATAAATTATGTAAAGTTCAAAGATTTGTGTGCTGGGCTCAAGCAAGCATCAGTCCAACAGCTCTTCCTGCCAGATCACCATGTTTAGACCTTTTGAGGTCTGGTGGCCCTTTCCTCCTCTTCCAGGAAAAAAAGTACATGCCCTGTATGTATTAAGATAGAAGAGAAACAAGTCTCTCCTAGGTCTACCCTCCCAGGTAAGCTAGATCGGGAACACGGCCAGATGAGACAATTCTACTTTTTGTAAAGCTACATTAATAGAACCAAGCAAGTCTGTCAGTTGGGGGGAGGTTTGTCCTTCCTAAGCTTCTTCCTCTGAACTGGGGAAGAACCACTGGGGGCTGCTGCCTTGCTTGTCTGATCATTCCCTCCTTCTCTCTTCCTTCAAGGCCATCCTCATGTATCACGACTTCTGCCTCTAAGGAGGGAAGGATGCTCTGAGAACAGAAAAGGTCTTCACTTGGAGTAAGTTTATATGGAGGTAACAATAAATGTGCAACAACCTTCTCTTTTCACACCTGGTTATTTTGGAACTCAACTTTTTTTTTTAAATAACAGTATCCATCCAATTTACTGTACAAGCCTTCATCTTGAAATGCACCAGAAGCAACCTCAGAGCAAAATTTCACTCCCCAAGTTCTTACCTGGCCTTCTGGGTTCTGTTCCCCTGGGCACCAGCATTAGAAATAGTAGCATTGGAGAGCTGGATCTCCGAAGATGTGTTGCTGGCCTCCTCATGGGTCAGCTCCATAAAAGTGCCATTAGCAGCATAAGCCAGCAGCTCATCACTGTCATCGTAGTCAACATACAGGCGGTCTATTTCAGGCCCAAAGGTGTTGATGGGGTTCATGGGAGAAAAAATATTGTTCAGGGTCTTGTTCCAGATGGATTCTTTCGAATCTGATCTCTTATCCCCAAAGCTGTGGATGATGGCATTTTCTGAAAGGAACTCTTCAGAAGAGAGAAGGGAGTCCAGTTCGCTTCCATTCTTTCCTTCCACCTTATAATTGGTTTTAGTTGTGTTTGATTCTGGAATGAAAAGGGGAGGGAAAAAAATCAAAGGCAACTGAAGTGAACAATTGGTCAAATTCAAAAAGTGAAATAAAAAATGTCAGTTGGGCTCACACTCCCATTGTTCTACTGTAGTGATCCACAAAACCCTTGAGGTAAGGATTGTAAATCCAATTTTTATAATTCCACAATGTAGATGGAGACTTCCGAGGTTGAGACATAATGCTGGGTCCACACAGTATATCTGGTTTTGGTCACCACACTATAGAAAAGGATGCTGAGATTCTAGAAAGAGTGCAGAGAAGAGCAACCAGGATGATGAGGGGACTGGAGGCTCAAGCATATGATGAACAGTTGCAGGAACCGGGCATGGTTAGTCTAGGGAAGAGGAGGACCAGGGGAGACAGGAGAGCAGTCTTCCAATAGTTGAGGGGCTGCCACAGAGAGGAGGAAGGGGTCAACCTGTTTTCCAAAGCACCTGAAGGCCAGTCAAAGAATAATGTTAATACCGGAAGAGATGAAACGGGCCTCCCTCAAGCCTGGGAGGCTGAAAAGCCTGGGAGGCCGAAAATCAGCTGGAGGCGCAGTGCAGGTAAGGGGGTGGGGAATTGCACGTGCATGCGCAGGGGTGTGTGTGAGGCACGCACATTGCCTTCTGGGTTCTGGCACATGAGCGCGCGCACAATTTTTGGCACAGGAGCCCAAAAAGCTTAGCCACCACTGCTGTAGGGTCTCCTGCTTGGGTGTATTCTGACCCAACCGGGTTCCCAGAGAGCAAACACAAGACAAAGGCAGCAGCCCCCACATTTTAAGGTTTAATCACGAATTCTGTTCCCTTACAGATAAAAGGCTGCTTTCCACTTTCCACTTTCCAACCAGCTCTGACAAGAAAGAGCCTTGCAAGTTGTTTGTCCGTGCTGCCAAAAACCGAAAAATAAGAACTAATTTATAATATTTTCCAAACACGAACTAAGATATCCACCAAGTTGAGCTTCAGAGCTTCTTTGCTGTCTGCAAAGAATGCTTTTCCAAACTAGGCTTTTATCCTCTTGAGGGAGGGGCCATTACCTTGCAGCCTTACTCCCAAGTCGCCTGTGCTGCTGTAACTGCTCTCTCCTACTATCAATCCTGTGCAGATGCGCACCTGGCACAGGCTCCTCGGGAACCTCCTCATCACTGCTGCCAGCCCCCACAATCTCTGAAGGCAGCAGTCTACTCCCCGATTGTCCTGGCCCCTCATCAGAGTCCTCGGTCTCCTCAGCCATCTGCACCTGCTGCTGGCTAACCACAACAGGGCGAGGGTTTGGACTAGATGACCTACAAGGTCCCTTCCAACTCTGTAAATCTTTATCTGTATCCCATGGTTGTGCTGTAAAAATAAAACTTGATAATCTAGAGTTACTTGGCCCAGAGAATCTGGAGTTCTGGACATGGCCCAATTTGACCCAGTTACTTCAATGTGACTCACCCAGATTTGGAAGAAAATTTAACAGACAGTTCTGTTTCTTGCACAGTACAGGAACAACACAAACAGCAGAATTTTTTTTTCATTTAAACTCTTCAGACTGTTCTAAGGGTGTTCTAAGGGGATAATAAAGCATAAAATTCATGGAAATGCATGCAGATTCCCACATTTGAAAAAGGTGCCCATAATTTGCTCCAACAAAGAATATGATTGTTGTTTGCTATACAATACTAGCCATTAAGATGAAAAATATGTTTGCTAAATATTGTACAAATGGATTGATGACATGGGCAAAGGAATACGGGTTTTTTTTTTTTTTTTACAAGGAATACTGTGTCCCTTCCTGAATGAGACGACAAAGATTCTTCTGGGATAGGGTGACATATGAGGAATTTGAACGGCTGCACAAGCCATGGAGGCCCTCAGTAATGGCCACTCGAGTGTAAGAAGAGAAATGTAATGTTATGTGTCCCAAGGATTCCAGAAAGATGCCCAGAATATGGGAGAGAAGCGGGGGGGGGAGTGGAAGGCAGGAGCTGAAGGGTGCACTTTGTTCAAAAGGACGAGGTCACACAGAAGAGAAGGAAGCATGGCGTTACATGTGAAGGAAATGCACTGAGATCAGGAATCTGAGGGTCCAGCCAGAGCACCTAGGTAGGAATAGAAGGAAGGGGAACATATTCTTGGGGTAGAGTTAGATATTGCCAAACTAGGCAGATGACCTGGAGGAAGTCCTCCTGGATTCATTTCCAAATGTTTGTGGAAGGAAGACACAGTAATAACAGTCAACTACTTGGACATCTGTTGAGAAACCAACTCAGCCAAAATGGCAAAGTCCCAAAATGTTCTTCTGTGGCCTTGCTGGCTTTTATTCTGTAAGGAGGCTGGTGAAAAACAAGGAGACAGATTGTCCTAAGATCTGACTGTAACCCCTGGGAAAGAAGTAGGATTCTTGCAAGAAAATGGTTCTCTTTTCTTAGGGTCTTAGAGAAAGGGGAACTGCTCATACCTCCCCCTCAGATTTAGGAGATCCAATTTCAACAGTTTTTAAAAGTACTAAGCAGAATCCCAAGGGCTGCCAGAACTGTAGAGGCTTGGATGGGATGCAGGAGGCTTTGCCTCACCCAAGCAAGACTGAGTGGCTCTGGAAACCTTCTGTCTTTGGTTCAGGATGATGTGGCACACAATCTGGGGATCCACCTGGCCACTTGAGTGTAAGAAGAGAAAGGTAATGTTATGTGACCAGAGCTGAATAAGCTTCTTGGATGAGAAATGAAACGCTTTCAAAGGAAAAACCAGAAAGTCCAGTTGCCTCCTAAAAAAAGCACCTTTGGGACTAGAGATACTTAGTTCCCTCAGCCATTCGTCATATGGTTAGGCTCCGGATCCCTTAACTTCTTGAAGATTATCATACAAAATTATGAGGAAGCAGATTTCAATTGGAGATAGGAGGAATTTCTAAGTGGTAAGAGGCATTCAGTGGAATTAAGTGCCTTGTCAGGAGAGGTGGAGTTTCTGTTGCTTCAATTCATTTTGGCAGATATTGAAGATGCTTTAGAAATGGATCCTGTACTGGGGAGTCGAGGGAGCTCCTAATTTCCAAGGTCTGTCCCATTGCATTCTGTGGCTCCATCTTTATATACTGTAGTCTTATTTCATTTTTAATTGGATAACTTTCTTAATAGATGACGGAATGATTTACATAGATCTGGACTTCACCAAAGCATTTAGTAGTGCATGCTGTGAGAGAGATCTAGGGCTCTAGTGGACAACCATTAAATGTAAGCTAGCAGTGTGCTGCAGCTGCCAAAAAAACCAATTTGGTTCTAGTTACATCAACAAAAGGATCGTTTCAAGATCATGAGAAGTTATAGTACTGCTTTATGCTGCTTTGCTAAGGCCACACTTCAAATTCTGCATCCAGTTTTGGTCACTATGATACAAAAAAGATGTTGAGAGTCTAGAAAGAGTGCAGAGAATAGCAACAAAGATGATTAGGGAGCCTAATCTAACCTAGGCTAAACCTTATGATGAATGGTTGTAGGAACTGGGTACGTCCAGACTAACAAAGAGAAGGCCTATGGGTGACATGATAGCAGTCTTCCAATATTTCTGGAATGAGTGGAACAGCTTGCCTTTATAAGTTGTTGGGGCTCTACATCACTGGAGGTTTTGAAGAAGAGATTGGACAGCCATTTGTCCAGAATAGTATAAATTCTCCTGATTGAACAGAGGGTTGGATGGATGAGAAGACCTCCAAGGTCCCTTCCGACTCTTGTTATGATGACATGTTGATTAGCAAGCAAATTAAATGTGATCTGGATGGCATGATGATTGAATGGGTGGCTCAAGATCTGTACCAAAAGAGTCTTATCAATTGTTTCTCATCAAACTGGGAAGAGGCATCCAGCGAGGTCGCCCAGGGCTCAGGACTACTTTTCAAGCATTAATGATTTGGATAAGGAGGTGGAGGGAATACGTGTTAGATATATAACGGGTAGGAAAGTGAATGGTTGGATTAATACATGGATAGCTTAGAGCAGTGTTTCATGCTAGTTGGGAAATTCTGGAACTCCCCACACAAAATGGCCATAGCTGAGAAACGCTACCTTCGAGAAATGAATTGAAAGCAACAGAACAATGGTTAAATGCTTTCTACTTGAAAAGAGAAATCAAACCCTTGGCTTGCTAATTCATGAAAATCTTGGAACAGTAGTTGATGGCCAAATGAATTGCCAGCTGTGCAATATGGTGGCAAGGAAGGCCAATATACTTTTGGCCACATCAATCCAGACAGTTTCCAAAGCTCTGAAAGTCCCTGTTCCTTTGTCCAAGGGAAGGTTGGACAGGCGTTTGTTTGGGATGCTGTAATTTGGATTCTCTTTTCAAGGGCCATCCAGCTTGAGGGCTCCCTGAAATTTACACCCATGGAAATTAAAAATGCAACTTGTAGAGCTCACAAGAGTTTCAATGGCCATCAGGCAAGACCAGGACAAGAAGAAATCTGCCCTTAGTTGTGGGTTACTCACCTGTGGAGGGCTTATTGGGGAGGGCAGGGCCATACTCAAGAGGGTTCCTGGGGTAAACTTCATTGGTCTGTTGCATCTTGCTCAGCTTCAGTTCATCCCCTCGCCCTTGCTGGCCAAAGAGCAGCTTCTCCAGGTGGCCCTTTTCTTGGGAGAGGGTGGCCAGCAGGCTGGCATTGAGCTGAGCGAGCCCCCAAAGGAATCCTTCTTCGAACTCCGTTTTTTCTTCACTACCTGATTCCGAGAAGCCATAGTAAATTGGCGGCAGCTTTTTCAAATAAGGTCTTGCCTGCAGGATGTATTCGTATGTAATTGATGGTTTTTTACCGTTTTGGTTCCAAACCTGGAGAAAAGGGGGAAAATGGTGCACCCTTGTTATATAAAGCGAAGGAGGGGACACTGCTCTTTAGAAGAAATGTGCCCGCTCCTGTGTACTCCACACTGAACTCAAAAAACATCTAGACAATGGAGAGAAGGACCTGTACATTGACTACTGTGCTGACTATATCAAAAGTAAGTCACACAACCCACAACTCAGCTGTAACCTTCAACCACAACCCTATGTCAACCAATCCACCATCACCCAAGACTAGGCACGCACACCCCTAACTACCTCAATTCCAACTACTGCTGGCCTTAAATGCAAGCTACTCAATGCAAGAAGCCTTGTGAATAAAATACCTGAATTTCTCCTCTTACTAAATATGGCTAAATTCGAGATCATGTTTGTCTGTGAAACATGGCTCAATGCATCTCTCCCTGACTCCATTACCACAGTAAGAGACTATCATGTTTACTGATCAGATCATGAAATTCGTAGAGGAGGTGGTGTTGCTACCTTCTATATTTGTAGAGGAGGTGGTGTTGTTATCTTACATCTAAAAAACATCCAAATTACCCAGGAGCTTGCTCTTCCTGAGACCATCATATGTGAACTATCCTTAAATATCACATTTCAATTCTTACTATGTTACAGAGCATCTGATTATGACATCGAACATGTAAACAAGTTAAATTCACTACTAAATGGGCAACATCCTGCCTACACGCTTTTATCTTTCTTGGTGACTTCAATCTACCTCATATTAACTGGACCCTAAATGAATGTACAACTGAACCCATACACGCAACCTTCTACAATGCTGTTACAAATCTGGGACTGGAACAACTAGTAACCAACAATACTAGACTTAACAACTGCCTCAATCTCATCTTCTGCAATAGTTTGAATTTAATTTACGGAATACAAACTAAAGAACCCTTTTCCAACAGTGACCACAATATGATTGACTTTTGTCTCAACATACGCCCACACAAAAATCATCATAATGACATAATCCCCAATTATAACTTCAAAAAAGGCAACTATGATCTTATAGCCAACAATCTCTCATTCCTTGATTGGCAATTTCTATTCACTGGATGCAATGCTGTTGAAGACCATCACAACATATTTTTACTTGAAGTCAAAAGAGTCATCAAACTATATGCACCAACAACAACTCCCAAAACAAAACAAAAAACAAAAAAACAGATTACCCGTAACAATAAGGAAACTTCAATCCAAAAAGAGATCACTCTGGTGGAAAAACAAATCTGGTCACGTTGCCAATTTCAAAAGCCGATACAAAAATTTATGCCACCAGATAAAGGCTGAATGCACCAATTATCACATTAAACAAGAGGAAAACCTTCTACACACCAATTCCACCCGCGCTTTTTACAATTTTGTAAACAACAAACTAAAAGACTCAAGGTCCATCCCACCCCTGATAGGACCTAATGGTAAAGACTGCAACGACAACACCATTAAAGCCAACATATTTAACACATTCTTTGGCTCAATATTTGTAAACAGCAATGGATCATGCCCACTATTTCCTAGCCGAACCACAGAAAACTACAATGATCTAATACATATCGATTTTACAGAAGACAATGTTGAAAAAGCACTACGCAATCTAAAACCATCTCTATCTATTGGACCGGACGGAATATGTGCCTACCTCTTAAAAAAGCTACCTACTGCCATAGCAGAACCTCTAAGCATAATCTTTGAAAAATCTTTCAGGACCAGCTCCTTGCCTAACCTATGGTCACAAGCCATGGTCATCCCCATCTTCAAAAAGGGAGACCCCAGCCTAGTTGAAAATTACAGACCAATCTCCTTATGTTGCGTCACCTGTAAAGTCATGGAATCAATTATTAACCAATCCGTTATCCTCCACTTAGAGACAAACAACCTACTCCAATAAACAATTTGGTTTCAGAAAAAAAACTATTCTGCAATCTGCAGCTCTTACACTGCAAAAACATATGGACTACACAATTCGATCAGGGCAAAACAATAGACGCAATCTACATAGACTTCTGTAAAGCCTTTGATTCAGTGGTACATGACAAACTACTCCTAAAACTAAAATCTTATGGTGTCTCTGGACACCTGCATAACTGGATAGAAGCATTTCTGTCAAACAGACAACAAATGGTCAAAATTGGGAGTGTCCTATCAAATTCTGTACCTGTCAATAGTGGTGTCCCCCAAGGCAGCGTTCTAGGACCAACTCTCTTCATACTCTACATAAATGACCTCTGTGATCATATTAAGAGCAACTGCATTCTCTTCACTGATGATGTAAAGCTGTTCAATACCACAGACAATACTGCTACCCTTCAAAAAGATCTTGACTATGTATCAGAATGGTCAAACAAATGGCAACTTCAAATCTCAACAAATAAATGCTCTGTTGGCAAAAAAAATATATATTGGCAAAAAAAATATATTGGCAAAAAAAATCAGAAAATAAAATACAAGCTGAATAGTCAAGACCTTGTTGATGATCCAAGCTCTGTAAAGGACCTTGGAGTACTTATTTCTAATGAGCTAAGTGCTAGAGCCCACTGTAACTACATAGCCAAAAAGGCATTAAGAGTTGTTAACCTAATCCTACGTAGCTTTTTCTCTGGTAATATCAAACTATTAACTAGAGCATACAAAACATTTGCTAGACCAATACTCGAATACAGCTCATCAGTCTGGAGCCCACATTACGTATCTGATATTAGCACAGTTGAGAAAGTCCAGAAATATTTCACAAGAAGAGTTCTCCACTCCTCTACTCGTAGAATACCTTGTGCCACCAGACTTGAAATTCTAGACCTAGAAAACCTTGAATTACGCCGTCTTCGGTCTGATCTAAGTATGGTATATAAAATCATACATTGCAATGACTTACCTGTCAATGAATACTTCAGCTTCAACCATAACAACACAAGAGCACACAATAGATACAAACTCAAGGTTAACCGCACCAAACTTGATTGCAGGAAATACGACTTCAGCAAGAGAGTGGTCAATGTCTGGAATACTCTACCCGACTCTGTGGTTTCTTCTCCAAACCCCAAAAACTTTAACCTTAGACTGTCTTCTATTGACCTCACCCCTTTCCTAAGAGATCTGTAGGGGGCATGCATAAGCGCACCAACGTGCCTACCGTCCCTGTCCTATTGTTTCTTTTATTTTTCTTATATGTACCTGTTATGTCTCACCTTTACAAAGGAGGTGAGAAGTCCAAATTCCAACTGAATACAAACAAGCAAGCAAATCCAGTAATTATAGAGTTAAATCCTTGAGCCGATAAAGTTCTTGGCAGTCTCACACATGCTGTCTGCCAAGTCCGACAAGAAAGCAAGAATATAAATCACACAAGCTATCACAACACAGAATAATCCGGAGCTCCTCTGAATAAGTCACACGTTGTCCCGTACGAAACTCTCAGAGCGAACACATCCACTTTTATTCCCTGTGGGGTGTGTCAGTCCCTCAGCTCAGTCTCTGATTCGTCCCTTCCTCCTGCGTTGCAGCTCACACTTTTGCCTGCGACGCTGCCTCGCATCAAGCCAGCATTCCTCTGCTTGATTCTCAGTCAGAGACTCTGATATGCTCTCCTCCTTTTCCTGATTAGCCTCAGGTTTTCCCTCTCGGTTATCTGCCGACACCTGAGGCACAATCAGGGAGGAAGGCATTGCCAAAGAGGAAGGTCCTGGGGAGGAAGGCATTTCCAAATCCTCCTCTTCTCCATTGTCCGAGTCTTCATCCTCTAACAATGCAGGCTCAAACCTCAGAGCCACAACATGTACCCATTTCATGTATTCATAACTATGTATATACTTATACCTATTATCTTGTAGGCGATTGACAAATAAAAATAAATAAAAAAATAAAAAGGCAGAAGCTCAAAGGCCCCAAAAGCCACAGACCCAAAAGCCAAACATCGCTCTCATCACTGAGGGATGCAGGGTGACAGGCTTGTCCTGGAGAATGTCCACACTGTAAGGGCTGCCCACCCTTGAAGGGACCCGGGCAGCCCCTTTGGGTAAACCTGTCTTGTCCTCAGCCTTTTCACAAAGTGAACTGGGCTTTATTTTATTGTGTGAAAAGACTATAGAACTGGAGAACCAAGGAAGAGTGGGGTAATTCTCTGCACACTTTCCAGAATCCTAAGGTACATCCTGGGGGTACCTTAGGGGCCACTGTGCTGCAAGGTCTGTTAAAGGCTTTTGGACTGATTGTTTAGTTCTGTTCAGGCTTATATGTCACTGCTGTCCTACTGACTGTGAGTGGCTAACAGCCACACAGAGTAAAACTAGACCAAGCAGTCGATTATAGTAATTAATACCCCATTAATACCCCTTGGTCCTCCAGTGCTCTTCTGAAGAGCCAGGTTTATCCCAGTCTCCAAAGAAATAATAAAGGGGGAGGGATACCAAGGCAGGCTGTTCCACAGGAGTGTGGTGACCCAGGGCATGGCACAGAGAGAACAGTTCAAACTTCCCCTTTATTGCTCCAACTGTGCCCCCAAATGTTCCCACATTCACTACAAGTCCTGGAACAAAGCTCTCATGTGCACCTTCAGAAGCCTCTGGCTGCAAGTAGTCCAGTAAGCCAGGTTAGCCCAAACATTAACCAGAACAAGAAGTTCAGCGAATCAGGCAAACTGGCAAGCCCCATAAGACAGAGCCCAGCAATCTCCAGGCTTTGGTAAGTGCACATGAGGCTCCACAGATTCAACACTTGTTCCCAACAAATGCCCCTCCCACCAGCACCTCCTTACACCTCACTCCCCAGGTGTGCCTTGTGAAGGGGGACGGGGCACTCTCCTCCCTCGTAGCGGCTCAATCTGCGTTGATCATACCATCTCTCTTCCCTCCTTGCTCTCGGATCAGGAGGGGATGGTCCTTGCTCTTCTCCTGAGCTCTCCCTGTCTGCAGGCCTTACTAAGTCAGAAAAGCCTTGCCTGGAAGATTCCTGCCCAGGCCAGGGTGTTTGGGCTAGAGTATCTTCCAACTTTTGTGATTCTACAATGTATTTTCTACATTTACATACTGGTAACAAGACGGGTGACATTCATGCACTGACAAGTATTCATATGTTCCAAGAAACAAAACTCACCATGATGTTTAAGCCCTGGTTGGTAGGTCCTTGTGCAACAATATATTCTATGCCAGTCTCAAAAATGTCCATGGGCCTCCTGTACTTGAAGATAGTCCCTGCAATATTGAAGTTTTGAGGGATGTCTATCCTGTAATCCCCATTGAAGAAGTAAGAGCCACCTTCATCTGCAATGGCTGCAAAATCCAAACAAGAGGCCACGATTTGTACGGTAGGAGTTACTGAAAGACACACTAACACCCACTTCCTTTTCTGGAGTGGTCACAGACTCTTCCATGTTATTCTGTGAAACAGCCACTGGTCAGGCCTGAATGAAATGACACCCCAAATGACACAGCCCACCATGGGCATCTGCACTATGGCCAGGGTATCATGATCAGCGCTAGCAAGAAGAAGTTGGGAGGAAGATTATTATTTTTTGAGGGGAGACCGGATGTGTTGCTAGGAGGAAAAGCCACAGAAATAAGTAAAATGTCAAGCATGGATTTGGAGATTTTATGGTCATGAAGCCAGGGTAAGCTGTAGATTTAAGTTACAAAATGAAAATGAAATTTGCTTCCTAAGCAGAACGCAAGAAATAAATGTTTTATTGGTTATTGTCCCAGGTATAATACCAACCCAAAACGTCAGCAGATTTCTTCCGTTCGACTATCTGGATATCTGTTGCTCCAGCAGGGATGTGAGTCACCAAAGAGTATCCTGCAGAATGGAGCATGGATGAGTAAGAAGCAACTCACCAGGGATGGCTAGAATCACCAGAAGGAGGAGAGGAAATCCTCCCACCACTTGACCTGAACTTGCTCAGGGCCACAGCCGTCCCCGAGGTCCCCTCCTGCCTTACCAAGTGGAGCATTTCCCTTCCGGTAGCTCCCAGTTACGTGCGTGCAGCTGCTGCCATTCCCTTGGCAAACCCCGCATTTATCCAGAACGTGGGGGGAGAACAGAACCCCATCGCATCCGATGGGCTAGAAGCAGCAGAAGAAAGAGCGCCTTGAGAGGCGGCCGGAGGAGCTACAAGAATTCTGCGGGCAAGAGGGTAAAACCAAAATGCTTAACAACCTCACATTTTCCAGACACGCACACTCCTCGGAAAGAAGAGGATTTGCAGGAAGTGCCATCCCGAGCCAGGACCATCAGCTGCCTCTGCCCATCGGTGGTGGTGCAGTGGAGATCACAGGGCTTGCTGGAGATGTGGACATAGTCATCTGAAGGGAGAAGAGGGAGACACGGAGAGGCTAAATAGTCAGGGCAATTATCAATACAATTAAAAAAAAAGAACTCAACCTCCTTTGAGTGATAGATGGAAAATGTATGTAGGGGGAATTTTCCATCAATCAATCCTGTCAGCTTTGTCAGGTACTCCAGACAAGCAGCAGCCAGATGAGCTAATTCTGGGCTATTTTAAAGCCACATAAACAGAATCCTGGAAGTACAATTCTCCTGCTGTCTCCTTTACAGTCTGAGCAACTAAGGGAGGGTCTCTTCTGACCCTTTGGCCTCTCCAGCTGCAGGCTGTGCAGTCTCTTTTCTAGGCAGCCTTTCTTCATCCCGTCTCCCAAGGTCTTTCCCACATACCATTACAGATCTTGAGGATTATGGCAAGATCCTCATTACTGTGACCCATGTGCTGGAGCCATTCCCCCACCGGTTGATCAAGGCCCCCCCAGAAGGATCTTCTAGTTGGGTCCAAGTGACGGTTAATGCCTTTTTGCAGGAAGGAGTGGTTGTGCCTGCCTTGAAGGGGAGAGGGTTCACACCTCCTCCTCAAGAACCATCTTTGGTCCTGACCATATTGGACAACTTCCATTGAGTCCCCACTATTCCCTGTCCAGGATTAGGGTGAGGAAGAGAGTGGTCAGCTTTTAACTCCAGGAAGCCATCGATGAAATGGATTATCTGGGGCCCCTGCAGTTGGGATTCAGGCCAGGCTACCATTTAATCATTGCCCCTGGGAATGATCTCGGGAGAGCTTGGGTGATCCCAGGGTCCTGGCCCTCCAGGTGTCAATTCTGAATCGAACCTGGCTGAAGCCATTTGGTGCTCCTTCATAGTTGCCATGCACTCTGGGGGGAGGATGAGGGGGAATGTCAGATTTGTGTATCTGTCATTCTTCAATGGAAGAAGAAGGGGGGGGAGTTGGTACAGGTAATCCTTTTTTATGTAACCTGAATATCTTAAGCCTTGTATTGAATCTGTATAACTTGCACATGATATACAACTGGGGGACTGGAGCCAGATGTCTAGAAACTTGTCACCTCTTGGAAAGATAGCAAGAGGAGAAGGGATCATAAAAATTCCAGCTCTGAAAGAAACTTCCTGGGAAACTTTTCTAACATACATTCCCAGAAAAGGGGAACATGTTGTCTCTTTGTTTGACTAAATCCACATCTAAATAAGGGGAGGGGTTCTAACTCCCTTTATTACTGTATGCCTGGAAGCATCTTAGATTCTGCTTTGGCTAGTACCTGGATCACTTCCTTTCAATAAAGAATTCCTAGCTTTCAGAAGTTCATTCTTATTGGTTGAAAGGGAAAAGTCTGGTGCTTACATATAGCAGAATCTGCAATAGAGGTCAACCTGGAGAGGAAATTTTTTTTCTTTGAAAAGAACCTTACTCCACTGAGGGGACCCTGCAAAAAATGTCTGAATATAGCAAGGAGCAAGGGGAAGCTGAATTCTGGGGAGAAACTTCAACAACTACCCAGCCAGACACTGACTTTGTGTACCCCATCAAAGACATTGAAACTGCCTGCGAAAATTCCACAAAGCTCTGATGGTCTATATAGGCATAGGAAACAGAGACACCCGGGATGGAAGAACCAAGGCAGAAACCTCACCCGGGGTAAACCCAGGTGGAAAATGGAGCTGGAGGCCCTTTCTGATCAGGAAGAATGGGTCGAGGAACCACTGGCAGATGACCGACTGAAACGGTACATAAATCGCATCATGATTTATGGAGGGCCTCAATGTGTGGGATGAACCAGGTTGCCAACAAAGGAGAGCAAGTGAACCAGAGATTGAGAGAACCCGAGTCATCACCTCTGATCCAGCTGAGAATGATCGAGCAATGGAACAAGCCGGAGGACCAGCAGCCATACCAGGTACCCAACCCCTTGCCGCTCCAGAGCAGGGGATTGACCCTGGCCAACCCAGAGACATACAACTGCAGAGAAAGGTCTCACCCTTGAGGTAAAATTCGATGGGGACCCCCAGAAACTGGGATTCTTCCTGGCATAAGTCCTCACCTACATGCAAGAATACAGGCAGAATTTCCTGACCCAGGGGACTCGAGTGCGAGTTGTCACCCTGGCCCTAGAAGGGGCAGCAGCTAGATGGATGGTGACCCTCCACAACGTTAATGCCCCAGAACTGAGGAATCTCGATCGATTCATGACAGCCCTACACCACTGCTTCGAAGACCCCCTCGCTGATAGAAAAGCCCGCAACGGCATTAGCATCGTAAAGCAAGGCTGCCAGCCTTCAAGATTTTCTCTTTTTTCTCCCCCTTTGTTTTGCATCTTTCAGCTGTCATAAGTAACGGGGGGAGGAGGGGGGATATGGTTATGGGAACTGAGCTGGAGGTGTTACAAAACAGAACTGCATCAGTTGTGGGGGGGGGAGGTTCTTACTTATGCTTCTATCCTATGCTATGCGCAGCTGCAAGTCTTTATCAAAATATGTCAAATTGGCTCATCCAATGGACAGAGGCCTCATCACCACCTGGAGATGCCCACATGATGATATATGCAACTTTTAATTGGATGAGCCAATTGAACTATTGGGGATGGGAACGTTGCCATCACTTTATATATATGTGATTTACGTGCCCATTTTCTCAGATTCAGAATTCTTTTGTTGCTACCGCTTGATTTCCAGTAAAAGATATCTTTTCTCTAATTAATGGAGTCTAAGTATTTCTTTCTTGGATTTTGAATGGAGCACCAGCTGACATTATTCTGAATCTCCACTTTACCAGCCCACCCGGAGAATTAATACATTTTGTTCCGAGGGGGTCTGAACACAATGTCTAATCCAGCCAGCAACCAAGAAGACCTGGAAGCGACTGGAGGACAAGATTCCCTGCTGTTAGAGGCAGCAGGGGAAGCCGACTTGTTAGCAGAATTAAGTCTTGATGAAAAACCAGCTGTAAAACCCAAATGGTCCCTGGGAGTCGGCTGGAAGGATCCTGAGGAAAAGCCTCCTCCAGGAGTGACCATTACCCATCAGCATGGAAGAGAGGAGCCATGGTAAGAGAAGGAAAGAAAGAATTTTTTACTAACTCAAGCCATGCATCTTCTAAATGAAGCTATCGGAGAACCTCAAACTGATCAAAGGTATGAGGGAGAGGAGGGGGAGGCAGCCCCAGCCAGAAGAATCAGAGCAGCCACCCCCAAAAATCAACCTGGGCTGGCGCAACAGGCAGCAGCAGCCCAGGGCCCCCCGGCAGGGGGAGTAATTGCCAGAAGATGTAGAACTCCAAAGGTGCCTCCTGGGTACACCCAGGAATTTAGAGAGCTGGCGTGTCATATTCGAGGCTGGTCCCAGGGAGCCCTGATAGAAGCTTTTAAGGATGGGTTGAATGAAGATGTATATCAAAGCTGTATTGCCAGAAGAGACCCCAGTGAGCTGCAGCTGTGGTACGTGCTGGCAGCAGAGGTGGAAATTGATCTGACCCGAAACAGACGCCAGGGGGCCTTGGTTGGAGCAAGTTCTCCCCCACCCGCCCTCGAGAAGCCTTAAAGCCTCAAAAGGGAGGAATGGCAGCAAAACCCAAGACCACTGCATGCTTCCGATGTGGGAAGGAAGGTCACCGGGCTGCAGACTGCCGTGCCAAGCTAGAGCCAAAGGGGGTGCCAGGAGGAGGAAAAAACCTGAAAACCCCCCCAGCAAAGCCTTGCGAAACAGCGCTTAAAGCAGAGGAGGTTGTAGAGATCGCCCCTCCAAAAGGAGAGGAGCTGGGAACTCCAACCTCTTCTGAAGAGAGTGAATCCAAATCGGAAGACAACTCAGTAGTAAGTCCAAACAAGGGCCCTATGACCATTCCAGTGAGATTAAGGGTACTCACGTCGGGAGCCAAAGGGGAAATGTTGGCCTTGTTAGACTCTGGGTGCACAAGGTGCATAATCAGCTCGGAGGTCATAGAGAAAATGGGCTTAAGGCTAAAGACTTTAAAAATGCCCATAGCATTTTGCCAACTGGATGGATCGGTAGCTGGGGTGGCCCTGCACATTTCATAATGGAACCAGTAGAAATGACGATGGGGAAGCATAGAGAGACTTTCTGTTTTATTGTGGCTCCTGGGATGGAGCGCCCCCTAATACTGGGCTTGCCCTGGCTCCGGAAATGGAACCCCCACGTTGACTGGAGGAGGGTATCATGCACATATGTACTGACCAACCCCCAGAAGGGGAGGAGCAATCTCAACCGAACCCCAAGAATCCCACTGAGCTGGCCTCCACTGGCACCGAGAATCTGAGGGGGGAGGAGAAAATTCCAGAGGAATATTGGGACTTAAAGGAGGTATTCAGTGAAAAGGCCTCGGACGAGCTCCCCCGCCATCGCTCAACAGATTGCAGCATTGAAATTTTGCCAGGACTGAAACCCCCAAAACTGAAACTGTACACGATGACACCACGGGAGCTAGAAGAGCTGCGGTCATTTATCAATAAAAATTTGGAACGTGGTTTCATCCAAACTGCTAGATCCCGAGTAGCAGCCTCAGTATTGTTCCGTGAGAAGAAAGATGGCTCTCCATGTTTATGCGTGGACTACAGAATCCTCAACGCTATTCCAGTGGAGAACATGTACCCCCTCCCCTTGATAAAGGATATGTTGGCCCACTTGGCCAAAGGGAAATTTTTTTACGAAACTCGACCTGAGAGAAGCATACTACCGAGTTTGAATTAAGGAAGGGGATGAATGGAAAACTGCTTTTAACTGCCCAATGGGCTGTTTCCAATTCAACGTTCTTCCATTTGGCCTACAGGGCCCCCCTGCAGTATTCATGCAAATGATCAATCAGGTGTTGCATGAACATTTATACAAAGGAGTGTTGGTTTATCTTGATGATATTCTTATCTACACAGAGACTTGTGATGAACATGTGAAACTAGTGCGGTCAGTTCTGGAAAAACTTCGAGTTGCTGAGCTGTACGCAAAGTTGTCCAAGTGTGAATTCCACCAGGAAAAAATTGACTATTTGGGC